TCTATATCCATCCTTATTGGGAAGGGAGGACGAGGCTGTGAATACAGTATAAATCTGGAATCCAGCGCTCGATCCATGCGGAATAATTGCTGCATCAGCTGGATTGTGCTTGGCTTCCATTGCACAAATCCAGACATTTCAGAAATTTAGTGCCATCAGGCCATTTAATTCTCGTTGAACATTGCACTATACATTGCTCTTTGCATGGGTGGTCTGTATGTTATAAATTGGCCGTGCATGTGTGCTGTCACATTCTGCATGCCACTTCCAAGTCGGGCAAATGGGGAGGATTGAAGACAGAGCTGAGGATCTAGTTACCAAATCAATTCACCCCAAAAAAGACAAGTAGCAAAGACTGGACTTTAAATGTGTCCCTAACTAGTCTGAGTCAGGGGCGGACTGACCATTATGGAAACTCGGGCACTGCCCGAGAGCCCGGGGTCAGTAGGGGGCCCCATGAGATGCCCCTGGTACCATTTTCATAGGCTTTTTTGAGTTGGGACAAGGACACAGGGGCCCCATGATCCCCTATTGCCCGGGGGCCCCATGAGTTGTCAGTCCACCCCTGGTCTGAGTCCCAATCTTTGCTAAATCTACCTGTCTTTTTGGGGTGAATTGTTCTGGAAAAGAGCTGATGATCTACCTTGGGAAACATTTGACATAAAAATTGTATGAAAAAAAACTTTCAAGCATGGTGACGAGGGAGGTGGCCCATAGAATCACATACAATCAGACATGACCAAACAGATATATACATACTTACATGAATGTTATATGATGCTACTGCTAAGAGCGTGTATTTTGCAAACCTGTGGTTGCATTATCGCTAGTCAAAGGCTTCACTGGGCAGTGCTACATATACCCAGGGGCGGACTGACCATTTGGAAACTCGGGCACTGCCCGGGGTCAGTAGGGGGCCCCATGAGATGCCCCTGATACCTTTTTCATAGGCTTTTTTGAGCTTGGGCAAGGTCACAGGGGCCCCATGATCCCCTATTGCCCGGGGGCCCCATGAGTTGTCAGTCCGCCCCTGCTTATACTGTACATTTATAATCCAATACTATAGTTGGAAACATTTTGGGAAGAATCAAAACTTCCCTGCTATTGAGGAAATGGCGATGCCCTTCGCCACTAACATTTATAGGTAAAGTTGATCCAGGGAATATCCGATTGCCTCTCGGGGGATCAGGAAGGAATTTTTTCCCCTGTAGGAGCAAATTGGATCATGCTTTGCTGTTTTTTTTTTTTGCCTTCCTCTGGATCAACTGTGGGTATAGGATTATAACTTTTTTTTTTTTTCTAATGGTTGAACTGGATGGTCTTTTGTCTTTGTTTTTGTTTTTCAGCCAAACTAACTATGTAACTATGTAGCTGTGCCAGGAGCAATGATGGTGCAATAATGTACTGAGACCAAATGTAATCTTCCAAATAGCAAATGGTTCCGCTTGATTGCCATAGGATGATCCATATTGTGCCGAATAATCATGTTTCCTTTAGAGGAAAACAGGATGAGGAACGCAATAACAAACAAAAAGGGTTAACTGCATCAGACAGGAGATGGCTGTTTTGCTTTGTGTTTTGTCTTTTGTTCAGAGTCATACTACACATCCTCTTTCTTGTTATGCTCTATGAAATTCCATGACATCAGAGACATCAGGGGCTGTGCTGGATGGGACAATACTGGGATACATTATAGCTAGAATTGGATAAACACATAGAGAGCATTCAGACTATGCCACATCAGCAACCCATCCCCACCCAAATCTGCCCCCCACCCAATTTCTGCCAGCACTAACGCTATCCTACCCCTAAGGGCAGTGCCATTAAGAACCACAAGAAGGATCTCATTGACATACAACAGTTCTTCTACATCTGCTGGTGCTCAATTGTGTTCTATGGGAATCTGCTTCATTTGTCTGTTTCTTTCAGAATGAAAATTGCAAAAGTTGACCTCACTATGAATCTCTATAAAGGTATCTCCAATCCACATTCTCATCTCTTTCTCAGTACTGGGTGTGATCTCAAGCTGCTCTGAGCTTGGAGAACAGTAGTCAATCATAAATGAAGGTCATTTGAAAATAGTTCATGCAGCTTATCCAAACCCATTTAAAGGGTCAATTAGTTTTCTTTTTGCAGGATACAAGCAGAAGATCCTTGCATATGTCCCCTATTGCTTATGCATGGGGGGGTGGTATTTCACTTGAGATGGGGGAAGCGAGATGAGATGCGCAGAGTTGGTGACATTGTCAGCAGAATAGCTGGTTGGTGGGAGTTTAGAGTGGGGGTGCGAGTAGATGTTGCTCTTTCATTTTTCAAGTGGGAAACACCTTCTAAATCCATTCAAAACTGATGTTTTATTTGCTATTATTATTATTAATAACAAAAAATGAACGGTGTACCCTTTAAATAATTCCCCAATTGCACCTAAACACTTTTCACCCCAAAAAGTGTATCATCCAAATATATATATAAAGTGCTAATATACTAAATAACACTAATAAATAAATAAATAAATACTACTGTCCAAAAATTGTATTGTCCACAATAAAAAATAAAATCAAATAAAATAAACAGAATAGACAAAAATCCTCCAGAAAGACAGTCTGCAAAAAGGCTTCCAGCCGAATGTAGGTCCAGTGATTATGGAGATCGAGCCTCAAAAAAAAAGAGAGAACTCCAAAAAAAGAGATCGAACCTCAAAAAAAGAGAGATCACATTATGTGAGTTCTCTCTTTTTTTGAGGTTCGATCTCCATAATCACTGGATCTACATTTGGCTGGAAGCCTTTTTGCGGACTGTCTTTCTGGAGGATTTTTGTCTATTCTGTTTATTTTATTTGATTTGATTTTTTATTGTGGACAATATAATTTTTGGACAGTAGTATTTATTTATTTATTTATTAGTGTTATTTAGTATATTAGCACTTTATATATATATTATTATTATTATACAGGATTATATATAGTGCCAACAGTTTGCGCAGCGCTTTACAATATAAGGGAGACAGTACAATTACAATACATTTCAGTACAGAAGGAATAGGAGGGCCCTGCTCGTGGAGCGTACAATCTAAAGGAAGGGGGAGGTGATACAAAAGGTGATAGCTGCGGCGGATGATCTGGTGGAGGTGATTCAAGTACAGTTCTTAGGTGGAGGTGGAGTAGGCTTCCCTGAAGAAATTAGTTTTCAAAGATCGCCTAAAGGCAGACAGGGTGGGGGCTGACCGGACATACTGTGGTAGGGAGTTCCAGAGGATGGGAGACGCTCTGGAGAAGTCCTGGAGGCGAGTGTGGGAGGAGGTGATGAGGGATCTAGAGAGGAAGATATCATGGGAGGAGCGGAGTGGGCGATTTGGGCGGTATCTGTTGACGAGGTCGGTGATGTAGCTAGGGGCAGTGTTGTGGATGGCTTTTTAAGCTGTGGTTAGTATTTTGAATTTTATACATTGGGCTATTGGAAGCCAGTGAAGGGATTGGCAGAGAGGGGCAGCAGTCACTGATTGGTTGGTAAGGTGTATGAGTCTGGCAGCAGCATTCATAATAGACTGAAGGGGGGATAGCCTGTGTAACGGTAGACCAGTGAGGAGGGAGTTGCAGTAATTGAGGCAGGATATAACTAAGGCGTGGATAGGTTGTTTTGTGGTGTCATTGGTCAGGAAGGGGCGGATTTTGGAAATGTTCCGGAGGTTGAGGAGGCAGGATTTAGCCAGTGATTGGATGTGGGGCCCAAAGGAGAGGTCAGAGTCTAGGATTACGCCGAGTACCCTTGCATGAGGGGAAGGATCAATGTGCTGTTGATCTTAATGGTAAAGTCATGAGTGGGGGATCGGGGGGAGGTAATATTACAAGCTCAGTTTTTGAAATATTGAGTTTAAGGTAGTGATGTGACATCCATGCCGATATGTCGCTTAGTAGATTTGTGATACGTGAGGAGATTGAGGGGGTGAGCTGGGGAGTGGAGAGATAGATCTGGGTGTCATCAGCATAGAGGTGGTATTTGCTATGCCATGTCCTGTCTCCAGCATGAAGATCATTGCTTCTAAATTCTATGTCCTGTCTATGACTTAAAATTAGTTTTGGATGGGTTTTCTTTTATTGCAAAAGTTGGCACAGAGCATAGATCGAGTGACTCAGAAGCTAGATTTAGTTACTGACTGTGAAACTATAGCCCCAGGCTGTTTAATTTAGCTGACATGCAGGGTGGGGCAGCGTCAGTTAAGTTCGATGGCCTATTAAGTTCTTAACTTCATTTCATGTTTGTAATAGTGGGGAGAGTGTTTAAATGTACAACATTCAAGTAAGTTACAAATAGGATTTTTTTTACTACCTCTATTCAGTTTTGGGCCAAAATGTCTTTGACCAACGTTAGTTTTGCATGATTGCTCTTTTTGTAATTCATTGACTAATTGTTTGTGAATTCCAATCTAAATCCGGTTTGCAGGTTTAAATTCACTCCACCTCCAAGGCAGGGAAGAGAATGGGTGTGTCTTCACCAGAAGAATATGTGATGTATTAATGTAATACCAAGACAAACTAGCAACAAAGTTAAAATAAATGTATACATTTTAAAAGTTTTACGTGTTTTTTAGTTTTATTTTTATTCAACTACAATAGCATTTTTGACTTTTAGATATGTGGAAAGTTATATCGTTGGCTATTGTATTTTATTTTTTTTTTTTCAGGTTTTTTGGGTTCTGCGCATATTTTTTGCTTTTAATTTCAACCTGAAATAAACAATTATAAAAATAAAAAGCCAAGATTAAACACAAGTAAAAAGCATACAAAAAAAACAAAGCAAGACAAAGAGCTTGCATTATGTTTAAGCTTTCATGGATTCATTTTATTCTCATCTGACCTCCAATATTTTCATGGTAATGGGCCAAGGAAAATATGTCATTATATGTGAAAGTATTTTCATCCTAACACAAGCATCCTTAACTTTTGAATGTTTTTCTCTTCTTTTTCAGAGCTGCATCACTACTATCTACAATTAAGAGCACCATGTGGATGATGAAATTCTTGGCTCTTGGCCTCCTGCTTGCTGTGGATGCAGCAGTAGATAAGAAAGCTGCCAAGAAAGCAGCCAAAGAGGCTCCTGCAGAGAAGAAGATCAGTGAACATGCCAGCACCATTGCTGACCGAAGTGCTAACCTGGCATTCAACCTCTATCATACCATGGCCAAGGACAAAAATATAGAGAACATCCTGCTTTCACCAGTTGTGGTGGCTTCTTCTCTTGGTCTAGTGAACCTTGCTGGTAAAGCTAGCACTGCCGCCCAGGCCAAGGCAGTCCTTAGCGTTGACAAGCTGAGTGATGAGCTTGTTCATGCTGGCCTGGCTGAGCTCCTCAACGAAGTTAGCAATTCCACTGCCCGTAATGTCACCTGGAAAATTGGAAATCGTCTCTATGGCCCAAGCTCCATCAGCTTCTCTGACGACTTTGTGAAGAACAGCAAAAAGCACTATAACTACGACCACTCCAAGATTAATTTCCGAGACAAGAGAAGTGCCCTTAAGTCTATCAATGAGTGGGCCACTCAGACTACCGATGGCAAGCTCCCTGAGGTGACCAGTGAAATGCAGAAGACTGATGGAGCCCTCATTGTCAACGCCATGTTCTTCAAGCGTAAGTATTCAAGGCAAATAGGCTAAATTTGTCTAATGAAATTCTCTATTTAGAATGTCCATGATAATTCTCTGTTTAGAATTCTTATGATAATTCTCTATTTAGAATATTCATGATAATTAAAGCTTTGTTTTTATTCTGTAGCTCACTGGGATGAGAAGTTCCACCACAAGATGGTTGACAACCGTGGCTTCATGGTGACTAGCTCTTTCACCGTGGCTGTCCCCATGATGCACCGCACAGGTATGTTAAACTAAAAATCATGATGACAACTTAAGTGAAACCTCAATAACAATTATTCCTTTTGAGATACTATGATATCTGAATGTAAGACTTTAGATCCCAGAAGTTTAAACCCAGTTCCATTTTTTAAAATGTATTTATTGCGGGGTAATCTTTAGAAACTCAGATTTTAAGGATATCTATGACTTCACTGTGAGTGAAATCACTTAGACAAGAAAAGAAGGAGTACAGAAAAAAGGGGACACAATAATAAAAGATAATGGATTCTAACCCTTATTCATGTTTTCCAAAACTAAAAAAATGCTGGCTGGACTTTGCCTTTAGGAACATTCTAATATTTTTGGATATTTCTTATTAATAATTCAGAGAGGCTTTCTGGTTGTTTTGGGGGCCACAACCTATTGCAACATATATATGCTCTTAGTTTCTGTGAATAGGGCATAACCATGGATGTTATCCATTTTATTAATATATACAGCATATGTTAATATAGAGTTCCTGGAGCATTTTTAATGTGTTTGACAAGCATGAAACATATCCTATAGTTACCATCTCTTGTGACTTTGCCTTTAGGTCTGTACAATTACTATGAGGATGAGACTCACAGCCTTCAAATCCTAGAGATGCCCTTGGCCCACAAGCTGTCCAGCATGATCATTATTATGCCTTACCATGTGGAGCCCATGGAGAGAGTGGAGAAACTCCTGACCAGAGAACAGGTCAAAAACTGGCTTGGGAAGATGCAAAAGAGAGCAGTTGCAGTATCCCTGCCCAAAGTCAGCCTGGAAGTCAGCCATGACCTTCAGGTAAGTTCAACTTTATGATTCATCAGGATTCAAACCAAACGTTTAGCTTTACCGTTGCATTTTTCAAACTCAACCATTTATCGAATCGATTTTTTGTTTGCCTTCCTCTGGATCAATTGTGGGTATACCTTTTCTTTTTTTTAATGGTTGAACTGGATGGACTTTTGTCTTTTTCCAGACAGACTAACTATGAGACTATGATGCCATATCATTAAACCAACCAAAAGGCCCAACCACCACTTCATTTGTATCAGTTCATGCAACCCCACCCAGAATACCCTTTATGGAATTCACACTAAACAATATTAGTGCAGGGTAAAAAAAAACGCAAACATTCATTTATACCATCTGATATGTTGCATGCATCTCCATCATTCTATGTTATCAGATACAGTTGCAAGAAAAAGTATGTGAACCCCTTGGGATTACGTGGAGTTTTGCATGAATTGGGCATAAAATGTGCTCTGAACGTCATCTAAGTCACAACAATAGAAGAACACAGTCTGCTGAACATAATACTACACAAACATTAGATGTTGCCATGGTTTAATTGCACATAACATGTAAACATTCACAGTGCAGGGAGGAAAAAGTATGTGAACCTTTGGACTTAATAACTGGTTGACCCTCCTTTGGCAGCAATAACCTCAACCAAACGTTTCCTGTAGTTGCAGATCGGACCTGCACAACGATCTGGAGTCATTTTGGACCACTCCTGTTCACAAAACTGTTTCAGTGTAGCAATATTCTTGGGATGTCTGGTGTGAATCGCTCTCTTAAGGTCATGCCACAGCATTTCAATTGGGTTGAGGTCAGGACTCTGACTGGGCCACTCCAGAAGGCGTATTCTGTGCTGTTGCAGCCATTGTTTTGTTGAATTACTTGTATGCTTTGGGTCATTGTCCTGTTGCATCACCCATCCTCTGCGGAGCTTCAGTTGGCGGACAGATGGTCGTATGTTTTTCCTGCAAAATGTCTTGATAAACTCTGGAATTAATTTTCCCATCAATGACAATAATCCGTCCAGGCCCTGAGGCAGTAAAGCAGCCCCAAACCATGATGCTCCCTCCGCCATGTTTTACAGTGGGGATGAGGTTTTGATGTTGGTGTGCTGTGCCTTTTTTTCTCCACACATAGTGTTGTGTGTTCTTCCCAAACAACTGAATCTTGGTTTCATCTGTCCACAGTATATTTTGCCAGTAGTGCTGTGGAACATCCAGGTGCTCTTTTGCAAACTTCAAACGGGCTGCAATATTCTTTTTGTACAGCAATGGCTTCCTCCGTGGTGTCCTCCCATGTACTCCATTCTTCTTTAATGTTTTCCTTATTGTAGATGTGTCAACAAAAATGTTAGCATGTGCCAGAGATTTCTGTAGGTCTTTAGCTGACACTCTGGGATTCTTCTTTACCTCATGCAGCATTCTGCGCTGTGCTCTTGCAGTCATTTTTACAGGACGACCATGACTAGGGAGAGTAGCAACAGTGCTAAACTTTCTCCATTTGTAGACAGTCTGTCTTACCGTGGACACATGAACATCAAGGCTTTTGGAGATACTTTTGTAACCCTTTCCAGCTTCATGCAAGTCAACAATTCTTGATCGTAGGTCTTCTGAGAGCTCTTTTCTGCGAGGCATGGTTCACATTAGACAGTGCTTCTTGAAACCAGTAAACCCAAAACAGGTGTGTGTTTTTTAAGGGCAGGACAGCTGTCAGCAACACATCCAATATCATCACACTGATTGGAGTCAAGGTTGGCTCACTCCTGGCTCCAATTAGCTCTGGGAGAAGTCATTAAGCTAGGATGTCACATACTTTTTCCTCCCTGCACTGTGAATGTTTACATGTTATGTGCAATTAAACCATGGCAACATCTAATGTTTGTGTAGTATTATGTTCAGCAGACTGTGTTCTTCTATTGTTGTGACATAGATGACGTTCAGAGCACATTTTATGCCCAATTCATGCAAAACTCCACGTAATCCCAAGGGGTTCACATACTTTTTCTTGCAACTGTATCTTCCATTAACCAGTCATTTTTAGGGTATCCTTACCAATGATTTAACTCGACTCCAACAGCCTCAGCCAAACTATTCTTTTTTGCAACTTGCACAACTAGTCTTTAGTCCATTACATCAGTTCAAGTTTTCAATTTCACCTTACACGTTATGTTTGAAAAAATAACCTCTAAAATGTTACATGTTCCACGAGACTACTTTGGTAGCTGTAATTTCCATCATTTCAGTCAGTCAAGGCAACCATCCAACTCCAACAATCCATATGATAAAAATGATGTCTTATCACTAAGATTCAAGAAGTCTTTATATACAAAAGTGTAACCTATCCATAAACCAATACACAGAAAAGATGTACATACAGTGGGGAAAATAATTATTTGATCCCCTGCAGATTTTGTAAGTTTCCCCACTTACAAAGAAATGAAGGGTCTATAATTTTTATCAATCAAAAATCCAGAAAAACACATGATAAAATGTAAAATTGAGTTGAAGTTCGGTGAGTAAAATAAGTATTTGATCCCCCACCAACCAACAATAATTCTGGCTCCCACAGACTGGCTATGTGCTCATGTGGTAAACAGATTAGTCCTGTCAATTTAGGAAGGTGCTGCTAATGACAACTCGTTATGTGTATAAAAGGCATCTGTCCACAAAATCTCTTTCTTCCATTCAAACCTCACCATCACCATGGGCAAGACCAAAGAGCTGTCAAAGGACATCAGGGACAATACTGTAGATCTGCACAAGGCTGGAATGGGCTACAAGACCATCAGCAAGAAGCTTGGTGAGAAGGAGACAACTGTTGGAGCGATTATTCGCAAATGGAATATATACAGTATAATACAAAATAACCATCAATCGCCCTCGATCTGGAGCTCCATGCAAGATTTCACCTCATGGGGTAAGGCTGATCATGAGAAAAGGGAGTGATTAGCCAAGAACTACACAGGAGGAGCTTGTGAAAGATCTCAAGGCACTTGGGAACACAGTCACCAAACAAACCATTGGTAACACAATACGCTGTCATGGATTGAAATCCTGCAGTGCCAGCAAGGTCCCCCTCCTCAAGAAGGCACATGTGCTGGCCCATCTGAAGTTTTTCCCATGAACGTCTAAATGATTCAGGGATGGATTGGGAGAAACTGCTGTGGTCATATGAGACCACAATTGAGCTCTTTGCCAGTAACTCTGCTTGTCGTGTTTGTAGGAAGAAAAATGGTGACTATGACCCCAAGAACACCATCCCTACACTCAAGCACAGAAATGGAAACATTATTCTTTGGGGCTGTTTCTCTGCTAAAGGTACAGGCTGACTTTGTGGGGCCAATGGGGCCATGTATTGTAAAATCTTGGATGAGAACCTTCTTCCCTCAGCCAGAACACTGAGGATGGGCTATGGATGGGTCTTCCAGCATGACAATGACCCAAAACATTCCGCCAAGGCAACAAAGGAGTGGCTCAAGAAGAAGCAGATTAAGAACATGGAGTTACCTAGCCAGTCTCCAAAATTTATGGAGGGAGCTGAACCTTTGAGTTGCCAGCAACAGCCAAGAAACCATAAGGATTTAGAGAAGATCTGTAAAGAAGAGTGGACCAAAGTCCTTCCTGAGATGTGTGCAAACCTGGTAACCAACTACAAGAAACATCTTACTTCTGTGCTTGCCAACAAGGGTTTCTCCACCAAGTACTAAGTCATGTTTTGCTTGGGGATCAAATACTTACTGTATTTTACTCACTGAACTGTAACTCAATTTATAACATTTGTATCGTGTTTTTTTCTGGATTTTTGGTTGATATTCTGTCTCTATCATTAAAAATACACCTATGATAAAAATGATAGATCCTTCATTTCTTTGTAAGTGGGTGAACTTACAAAATCTGCAGGGGATCAAATAATTATTTTCCCCACTGTACATTTTAAAAGTTTCATATTGTACACAAGGCAGATTTGGCACAATCCATTTAAATGATTTGAGTTGCCAACATTTTGAGTGTGCCAATAGCAGTTTTAAATGAGTATTGTAAACTGTTTACACACTGCATATTAAGAATATCTGTTGAGCTCTTTGTGCTGAAAATGAATAAACTTGTTCTTTGACCAAACCTGAGCTATGGAAGCTGTGCCCACACAAAGCAAACGGGGGACAAAAGACTAGTCACCAGCAGCACAGAAGTGGCATCACCAAATCTCACTCCACATCTTGTTAGATTAGCAATCAGAGGCAGCAGTGCCTTAGATCAGGGGTCTCCAAACATTCTAAACAAAGGGCCAGTTTACTGTTCTTCAAACTTTGGGGGAGGGGGGAGAGGGGGGAGGTAGGACTGTGGTCTGTGGGAGGAACAGTGCACCATCATTGGCATCTGTGGAGGGGATAGTGCCTTGTTGTTGGTGTCAGTGAAGGAATAGTGCCTCATTGTTGGAATCATTGACGGAATAGTGCCCCATCATTGGTATTCATGAGAGGAATAGTGTCTTATCATTGGTATCAGTGAGAAGAATAATCCCCATTATTGGTATCAGTGAGAAGAATAGTGTCCCATCATTGCTATCAGTGGAAGGAATAGTGCCCCATCATTGGTGTCAGTGGGAGGAATAGTGTCCCATCATTGGTATCAGTGTAAGGAATAGTGCCCCATCATTGGTATCAGTGGGAGGAATAGTGCCCCATCATTGGTGTCAGTGGAAGGAATAGTGCCCCATCATTGGTGACAGTGGAAGGAATAGTGCCCCATCATTGGTATTAGTGGAAGGAATAGTGTCCCATCATTGGTATCAGTGGGAGGAATAGTGCCCCCTCATTGGTATCAGTGAGAGGAATAGTGCCCCCTCATTGGTATCAGTGAGAGGAATAGTGCCCCATCATTGGTATCAGTGGGAGGAATAGTGCCCCATCATTGGTATTAGTGGAAGGAATAGTGTCCCATCATTGGTATCAGTGGGAGGAATAGTGCCCCCTCATTGGTATCAGTGAGATGAATAGTGCCCCCTCATTGGTATCAGTGAGAGGAATAGTGCCCCATCATTGGTATCAGTGGGAGGAATAGTGCCCCATCATTGGTATCAGTGGGAGGAATAGTGCCCCATCATTGGTATCAGTGGGAGGAATAGTGCTCCATCATTGGTATCAGTGGGAGGAATAGTGCCCCATCATTGGTGTCAGTGGGAGGAATGGTGCCCCATCATTTGTATCAGTGGGAGGAATAGTGCCCCATCATTGCTATCAGTGGGAGGAATAGTGCCCCATCATTGGTGTCAGTGGAAGGAATAGTGCCCCATCATTGGTGACAGTGGAAGGAATAGTACCTCATTGTTTGTATCAAGGAATAGTGTTCAATCGTTTATAATAGAAGGAGGAATTATGTCTTTGTTGGTGTCTATGAAAAGAATTGGTCCTCATCGTTGGTGTCAATGGGACAAATAGTGTCCTAAGGGCCAGATAAAGGTAAGCAAAGGGCTGAATGTAGCCCACGGGCCACAGCTTGGAGACCACTGCCTTAGATGATTGAACACTGCAGATATACAGAATAACTAGACACCATCACATACCAGTAATTACACTGCTTTTTTCAAGAGAAATTCAAGACAAAAAGGTACATTGGCATAATTAACATTTCTAGATGTTCCCTATAATAGAACAAACCTTCACTTTTTGAGTTCATGTCCACTTTTAAGACTGTTTTTATTTATTCCAGAAACACCTGGGTGAACTTGGTCTGACCGAAGCCATTGACAAAACCAAGGCTGACCTTTCCAAAATCTCCGGCAAGAAGGATCTCTACCTCGCCAGCCTATTCCATGCAGCTGCCCTGGAGTGGGACACCGAAGGAAATCCTTTCGATGCTGACATCTACGCTAAGGAAGTGCTTAGAAACACCAAAACTCTTCTATGCTGACCACCCCTATGTCTTCCTGATCAAGGACAACAAGACGGACTCCATTCTTTTTATTGGTAGACTAGTCAGGCCAAAGGGTGACAAGATGCGAGATGAATTATAGTACCAAAAAGCAGTGGGGCGGTTAGGATAGTTGGGTTTGGTAGTTATAAATAAATTCTGATTTTTTAATGAAAGGAGGGCATAAAAGAACCAAAACACTAAATGTTGGCATTTGACATCTTGACCTGTTTGCAAAACAAGAACATTCCACCAAAGCAAAGACAGTTCTCCCGGAGGTTCCTCTACTGGACCTTTGGTTAGACATTAAACAACAACCATGGTGCTTAAAAACATACTGTAGTAGAGCTTTGAAGGCCTCACATCAGAGACTGAACTCTCCATTGAAATACTTATCATGTGAAACTTGAGTTCCACTATCTCGCTCTAACATGATGCTGTGGTCTTGTGGCCCTTTATATAGTTGTCAATCTTTTTGACTAAGCAGATTTTGGGACTTAATGTGAAGAAACATTTAGTATCAAAACACTTCTAGTTACTGTTTAAAACTTAAAAACCCAAATGTTAGCAGTTGTATATGGGGTCAAACTTCAGTCTCTTGTTCAATAATTATTTTGAATGGTTTGCTTTGGATGTCCTTTCCCATACAGAAAGCCGGTTCTTCTTTCCCCATTTCAGGGGATTTTGTCTTGTTTGTATTGCCCTCTTTCATGTGTCATGTAAGGGGTCAATGGGTAACTGATACCTATGCAATCACTCCTTGCACCAGGTGTGGTGCAGGTTGAATTTATAAGGATATGTGTGCTTGAGGGAGGGGGTGGGAAATGGGGATTTTGAATTACTTTCACCATGTGGATCCACAAAATCTTTACTTTGTAAAAGTTACAAACAGTTTGAATGTTCTGTGTGTGTGTTTTGCAATAAAGTTGTTGAAAAAAAAAAGCAGTATTTGTTATTTGAGTGGGGAAGGAGACGTTTTTGGGTTGGTAGTTGAAATGTTTGGTTCAACCAGTAAAATGTATTTGCTGTGTATAATATATATGAGCAGTACACTTTATAAAACAAGTCATTCAATATTCACACAATAACTCATGCAAGACTTACACATATTTGAAAATGTGCAAATCTTGGGTGAAAGTTTCACAAATCTTGAATGAAAACATTGTTAAATTGGCTCTAGTGAGTTTAATGTAATTGTATACTATTCTTAAAGGGGGGACCTAAAATTTGAGCCTATGTACACTGTGCAGGGGTCAGGTGAAGGTAATGTAGACAGTGCAGGAGTCGGGTGTGAGTAATGTACATAGTGCAGGGGCCAGGTGTAGGTAATGTACATAGTGCAGGGGTCGAGTGTGTGTATAATGTACATAGTGCAGGGGCCAGGTGCAGGTAATGTACATAGTGCAGGGGTCGAGTGTGTGTATAATGTACATAGTGCAGGGGTCAGGTGTAGGTAATATACATAGTGCAGGGGTCGAGTGTGTGTATAATGTACATAGTGCAGGGGCCAGGTGTAGGTAATGTACATAGTGCAGGGGCCAGGTGTAGGTAATGTACATAGTGCAGGGGTCGAGTGTGTGTATAATGTACATAGTGCAGGGGCCAGGTGTAGGTAATGTACATAGTGCAGGGGGTCGAGTGTGTGTATAATGTACATAGTGCAGGGGTCAGGTGTAGGTAATATACATAGTGCAGGGGTCGAGTGTGTGTGTAATGTACATAGTGCAGGGGTCAGGTGTGTGTAATGTACATATTCCATGGGTCAGGTGTGGGTAATGTACATAGTGCAGGGGCCAGGTGTAGGTAATGTACACAGTGCAGGGGTCAGGTGTAGGTAATGTACATAGTGCAGGGGTCAGGTGTGTGTCAGGTACACATTGCAAGGGTCATAAGTGGGTAACACAGAGTGCAGGGGTCAGATTTATGTAATCTACATAGTGCAGAGGGCAAAGTGCGTAATGTACATAGTTCATGGGTCAGGTGTTGATAATGTACATAGTGCAAGGGTCAGGTAAGCATAATGTACATGGTGCAGAGGTCTGATGTATGCATAGTGCAAAGGTCAGGTGTGTGTAATGTACATACTCCATGGGTCAGGTGTGGATAATGTACAAATTGCAGGGGTCAGGTGTGCATAATGTACATGGGTCAGGGGTCAGGTTTATGTAATAAAACAGTGCAGGGGTCAGATGTGTGTAAGGCACATAGTGCAAGGGTCAGAAGTGGGTAACACAGAGTGCAGAGGTCAGGTGTATGTAATGTACATACTGCAGGGGTCAGGTGTGTGTAAAATACAGTACATAGTGCAGGGGTCAGATTATGTAATGTACATAATGTAGGGGTCAGGTGTGTGTTTAATGTAAGTAGTGCAGCGGTCAGGTGTGTGTGTAATGGTCGGGACTTTCCTTGGCCTCTTAGTAATCCTTATATTCCTGGCATGCTGCAGGCTTTGACCACCATTACCATTCCCCCCCCCCCCCCACTCTCCACTCAATGGTCACCAAGTACCTAGGAAACAAACCAGAGCCCAGCAACTACCAAAATCACCTCTTGTGAGACTGTGGCCATGTCCCCCAGCTGACAGCCGTCCAGACAGACCAATCCTTCTCAGTACTGTGTTGCAAGATGCATCTATGCAGATGGTTCCAGTGGGGAGAAGGGTGTTGTGTGAGCCACCCACAGGCAGCCCATCTGCTAACTCCATGGGGCTGGTATGGAGGGACTGTAACCCTTTCAGCAGACCTGAACACATGGTATCTGGTTGCTACGAGTTATAGCACTTATCACTGCATTACTGTTCTTCCGTAGTGCTTCTATTTAGCATGCATTGGAATGTTCAGGAAAGAAGATATTCCAAACTGTCCATTCCAGCACACACTTGCTAGTCCCAACTAACCAAAAAAAAAAAAGTCCCTATAAAGATAACGAGGCTTGTGGTTTCTTGAGATAAAGTTCTTGTCAGCTGCAGACTATTCTGCAACACATTGGGGGAGATTTACTAAAACTGGAGCACTCAGAATCTGGTGCAGCTCTGCATGGCAGCCAATCAGCTTCTAACCTCAGCTTGTTCAATTAAGCTTTGACACTAAAACCTGGAAGCTGATTGGTTTCTATGCAGAGCTGGACCAGATTTTGCACTCCAGTTTTAGTAAATAACCCCCATCGATCTCAAGATATTTGGCAACAAGGGTTAATGTAAAACTGCTGAAAGACTAGATATGAGGCCCTCCCTTTGTCCCATTTCCAAAACCAACAAGAACCATTCCAAGTCTACAGACATAGTGCTGCCATCTGCTGGAGAACCTGTATATTGCAGTCATCAAAACTGATACTTTTCTATCCACTTCTTTCTGTGAAGTGATCCAGCTGCCCCCTCCTCCCCATAATTCCTAACCCCTCCCATCTGTATGTAATAATACAGCTGAGAACTTTTCCCTGTATGGTGCTATGACTGGTCCTCTCCCCACCCCTCCCAGCCCCCCACCACTGTGTACACATAGCACAGGGGGCAGTGGCGGTGCAGGGGCCTCCTGGTGGAAGTAAAGCACATCGGCTGCAACTAAACACAATAGGCCCTAAAGAACAATTCCTGTACCTTCCTATAAAGAAAGTTAGAGGGTTAAACAATAAATAATTATAATAATATTTTTATTATTTTTATTAGTATTTTGTTTCATTTGTTATTTTTTTATTATTATTATATAGGATTTATATAGCAATAAACAAATGAAATAAAGGTATTTAAACCACATTAGGTTCATCAGGTGATATGTAACATTGGTATGTATTATCAGTTAAGTAAACTGCATTCCTATACATAGAACAAACAGAAAAAAATCAAATACAACTGTTTTCTTGTACATATGAGTAGTAATGGGGTTTTTTTTTTCCCACAATTTTAGGATATTTAGATAATGATCAGGACTGTTAAAAGGCAAATGCACTAAAAAAAAAAAGTGAACTTGTTTTAAAAGCTTGCATTTTTAAAGTGCAAATCAAGTCTACCTGGATGGCATTTAGTTAGCTAAATCCCTTATTTTCCTTGTAGTTAGCCACAGCCCCGTATTTCATAAACAATCTAAATTTTTTAAAATCCTGTGTTCATCCTTTTTCATCCTGTGTTTACATCTCATTTCTGCTTATATCCTGCCTCCTGTTTGCAGCTACTTCCAGCCATACAGCAATGGCGGTATGCCACTTCTCAGGTCCAGTTTTCCTGATGGCGACAACAGCATAGTACGACATATGGATCAGCACACGTCTTATAGTCTTCATTGATAGCCCTGTGTGACAGGTTGATAAGGTTTACAATTTCAAATCCATATAACACCATTCCTACAGCAAAGCATGGAGGTGGGGAATATCCTATTCTGGGGGTTTCTCTGCAGCAGGGACTGGAGTACTTGTTAGGGTAGAAGAGAAAATGGATGGAGCAAAATACAGTCAAATTCTTAAGGAAAATCTGCTTCCCTCTGCCAAAAAGTTGTCAGTTCCCCAATGTTCTTTTTGTGAATTGGTGCCCAAAACTGAACTGCATATTCCAGATGAGGTGTTACTAATGATTTGTACCGGGGTAATATGATATCTCTCTCTCTGGAGTCTATACCTCTTTTAATACAAGAGAGGATTTTGCTCGCTTTAGAAACCACAGCTTGGCATTGCATGCCATTATTAAGCTTGTGATCTACCAGAACTCCCAGATCCTTCTCCACCATTGATTCCCCCAGTTGTACCCCCCCCCCCCCCCCAGTATGTATGATGCATGCAAATTCTTAGCCCCCAAGTGCATAACCTTACATTTATCAATATTAAACCTCATTTGCCACATAGTCCCCCAATTACACAGAGCATTGAGGTCGGCTTGTAAATTGGAGACATCCTGTAAGGACGTTATTCCACTGCACAGCTTGGTGTCATCTGCAAAGACTGAAATGGGATTTATAATCTCAGACCCTATATCGTTTACAGTTGCAAGAAAAAGTATGTGAACCCCTTGGGATTACGTGGAGTTTTGCATGAATTGGGCATAAAATGTGCTCTGAACGTCATCTAAGTCACAACAATAGAAGAACACAGTCTGCTGAACATAATACTACACAAACA